TGATCATTTTTAAAACTCTGCTTTGGCATACTGTCATCATATGCTCATCCTGAGCGGAACAATTTCATGATAGGGTTACTTTAAACTCCATGACAAAACAAAGAATGTACAGCAAATATGTTGCACACAGGAACTGTGAGAAAGGTGAACTTGAACTTTAAAGCTTACCCCACTAAGCGTTGTCGCCCTAGGCAGATGTTTACATGGTGAAGGCATCTTTTAAAAGCACAATGACCTGAAAATGCTCACCTTTTCCTGCACATTCCTGAAGAGCTCATATGCCTGGATACATTATCTCAAGTTATATGCTCTTCCAAGTCTGTATTTTAAAGGTGTAAAGTAAAGGCAGTAGTGTAGAGTTTATCTTGAATGAGTGACTCCATTTCTGAAAATCAGTTGTTTGTGGCACCAAGACTTCTCCAATAGTGGACACAGGAGAATGTGCTTTTAGGCAGGTGTCAGCTACCATTTGCTAGATATTAGGGATGCACCGATATATCGGCCGCCGAAACATATCGGCCGAAGATGGCACTTTTGGCATAATGCCAAAAGTGGCATTTTCCTGCCAATACATCGGCACATCCCAGGTTTCTTTCCTCCCCGCTGGGCGCTGCTCTGTGTCCCAGTGGGGAGGAGAGAAACTGTGCAGCCTGCCGAGTGATGCGGGAGGAGAGCGCTGTGAGCGGCCGGCGTCTCTCCCCCCACACCGCTCAGCCGCCTATCACAGTCCGGCAGATCGGTGTGGGGGCGGAGACAGGCCGCACTGTCACAGGAGGCTGAGCTCTCCTCCCTACACCGCTCGCTCAGCCTCCTGTGACAGCGTGTCAGAGAGCAAGGTACAAACATTCAGTAATCGCCGAGTCTTTGTGCATAATTGAGGATATGGTATGTTGACTATATCCTCAATTATGAATGAATGGGGGTGATCTACATCACCTCCTGTTCATTCATAGTTGTAGTTATAGTAAACATACCATGTCCTCATGTTATCAATGAACAGGAACACTCATAGAGGATTCCTGTTCATTGATAACAGGGGACAGAGAAAAAGAGACTTTGTGTCCTAAATCTTTTTTTTTCTATTTTAAAAAGGGAAATATCATGAGTCTGTTTAGACCCCTAATATTTCCCAGAAGCCCCTAAAAGTAATGTAAAAGATATTTAATAAAAAATGAATTAATAAAAAATAAAAAAAAATAAAAAGTTTATAAAAAATAAAAACAAAATATTTAAAAATATGAAAATAAAAAACATTTTCGGTATCGGTTTCGGCCTGAAAATTCTTTTCATTTTGGTGCACCTCTACTAGATATTGGAGGATTAAACCACCTGTCAGTTTTTTCTATCCCTCAAAGACTCTGTTAGGGAGTTCTCTGCGCGGAGTACCTCAGTTTGAATCTCTGCTGTGGTCACTATGGCCATCCTCCCTGCTGGATTTTTATTTATTTCACATTATGGAAAATGTGGGTGAGAACATCCAAAATAGGCAGGTGGACATACTGTAATAGTGTAGGGCATTATGGCAGGGAGATCTCTATATATAAGAAGCCAGGGGGATAACTCAGCCCACAAGGCTGCACCTATAACTAAAATATCACATTTGGGTGAGCTGAACCTAAGATTTAGGGTTATATTGGGCATTAAGGTTTTAATGTTAAGTGTTAGTATGCAGGTTAAATGAGAACTATGGGGTCAGGGCTTTTCCCCATAGTTCTCCTTGAGGGTTAACGGGAGAACAAAAACTAGCGTCCTCCCGTCACCCAAAGCTCAGTATACCGCGAGCTACAGCTCGCGGTATACGGAGACGCCGCAGCCGGAGCGGATCCCGACATCGATGTCGAGATCCGCCCAGCTGCGTGAGTGACAGCTGGCTCTATCTAGAGGCAGAGCCAGCTGTACCCGCCCCCTCCCCCGTTCCGCCAGTCAGCGCTGGCGGATCAGAACGGGGAGGGGGGAATCCAGCCCCTCCCCTGCCCCCTCTGTCACGTCAGAGAGCAGTGACAGGATCGTGAAGTGAGCGAACGCCGGTATATGTTCGCTCACCTCCCGATCTACTGAGCCGACCTGCGACAGTCTCATTGTCACAGGTCGGCTAGAACTATGAGGTGAGTGAAAAGCACTCACCTCATAGTTCTCCTTTAAGTTTAACATTCATATATACCTGACAAAAAAGAAGAAATGAAAATGGATGAATCTGCCTTTGGTGGCAACTCACCAGTGAATAAAAAAAAAAAAAAAAAAGACCTTCAGCTTTGCTACCTCCATGTCCGATCCAGCAAGGTGCCACTCAGTTTCTGCTTCCTTGCTAGATTCCAAAGTGTTTCGACCAGTGTGGTAATGACCAATGAAGAAAGTGGCAGTCACATTTTGTAGATTCTGCAGTTGGCAAGGTGTCACTGGCAAGACAACACAATGCAAACACAATGTAACTGGGGTACAATCATAGCCCAATCACCAGTGTACACTACGATTTGTGCAACAAAGCTGTCAAAAAAGGGATGCAATGCTGAAGAATTACCATCATGTATGCAGTTACTGCTGACCTCTCCATTTAAGAACAATAGTTGCCTGGCTGTCTGGTTTCAACACATTCACTGACAAGTATGGAGATTAGGAGTTCTAACATTTTTCTTACACTCATTTACAGCACCCTTGCTCTGGGTGTGTTATTCAACAATAATGAAGCCAAAATAATCCAGGCAGCTAGCACTTTCAGAAGTAAACCAGCAATGACAGCCCCTTTACTTCTCTCATGACTGGTGTTTTTTTTATGAGTAAGTGTACTGTCAATAAAAGTACAGTTATCCATCCTTCCTTGCTCTCCTGACAAACTACCACCCTCACAGCTGCTAACTTTCTTTACAATTATATAGGGCAATCTCTTGAGTTTCTCCAGCCCCAGAAGACGACCCCAAACAGGTCTATAAAGGCTCCCAGCCATGGCTAGGGATGATTTTGGCTGGAAAAGGAAAAAATCCAAGCAGGCTTCAACTACTATCACCACTACTACTATGGTAAGTAACCAGCTGGGAAGGGGGTTGGCTACTTCAAGTCTAAAAGGCTAGGAAGGGAGAGCAAATGTATGTTTCAGGGTACCACATCTGCCTGGGCCAGTCTGCCGCTATGAGAATCACCAGAACGCCCTCCATCTCAATTTTGATGTATGGATTTGTCACGAGATTGCACTCTCTCTCTCTGTCCCACACAGACAGCAAGTTGTGTTGTAGAGGTCTGGAGTGGAACAGAGCAAATCGAACTGCATCGAAGAAGGCTACCATAAAGCTAAGATAGCTCATGCAGAATCACAGAGTTAGGCAGCCCCTGCACCGTAGAGTTTGAGTCTGGGAGCGGAGACAAGTTTTTTTTGAGGACAAAAATAAATCTTGTTGGGCCGTGTCTAGAACTAGACCCAGATATTCCAAGAAGTGTCGGAACCAGTGCTGATTTATAAAGGTTCAGAATCCAACTGAACCTTTTAAGGGTCTGGAATGTCCGTGCCGCATTGAAGGTCAGAGGTTTGAGCTGACTGTTCTCTGAACAGGTGGTCATCAAGGTATCCCATGATGGGAGTATACTGGGAGCATAGCCAGGCTAGCTTTGGAGCTAAAACTTTGGTGAACATTCGTGGTGCAAATTACAGGCTAAATGGTAAGACTGGTAGTGTCCAAAACCTCCTGTACGCAGCAGTATAACCCAATTATATCAGAATAACTACTGATTTTGTGTCCCTTAATGAACAGTAAAGAGAAATATGTTGTGGAAAGGAAAAACACTGCAAGTAAGCATTTTAAATACTTGCAAATACCTGCAAATTTAGTTGGTGACAGACAGGGTCTCTTTAAGGTTGAACTTGACAGACACAGGTCTTTTATCTGCCTAACTATGTAACTAATTGTCAGGCAGAGGGATTGTCTTTCTCGCCTACAGTCACTCTACAGGAGGAGGGGGTCTCTCCAGTCTGTGCATGGGATCCGATCCACACCCTTGGTAAATTCCACGTAGTGCTGAGCATGCGGGTAATTACACGTTATTTATGCTTCATACCTAAATGCCAGATAACCATCAAAATCTATCTTTTCTTGTAAAAATATATGTATATAAAAAGGTTTAAATAAATAATAATCAGACAATGGTTGTCATTGCTTCCTCTGAGCGCCTCTTGCTTTCATCTCAGCTTTCAAGTGTAGGGGAACAATACAGTTTGGATTACAAACCAGAAAAACTTGTTCTAAAAAATACATTTCGTGTCAGCCTGCCGACTCAATATGTTCTTCACAGAACAGCTTTCCCATGTATTTCTTTTTTTAACCCATGGAAAGACAGGAGAGTCTAAAATATCTAGAATGTCCCTGTTGCTTTGAATCTATACTGTGAGGGAGGTGTTAGGGAAAGATATCTATCTGCTCCTCTACGTTGCTAAATCAGCAAATGAAGCATACAAAATAAAAAAATACTATTTATTCACTATTACAGAAGACATATTAATTTCATATAGAATTTCCTCAAAATATTCCACAACAGTTTTTCCTAAAATAAACGTTTTGTAATCACCCACATAGCAGAGCTCAGACTAGGAGAGGGAAAGGCAACACCAGGAGCCAAACAGACTTCTTCAGTGTCCCACTGTTCCTTTAATGTACAATCAGTAGGTTTAATATGTGTACTTGATCAAACTCGATGATACTGCAGTAAGTGTCCAAGCTGTGTTGTCTGGCAGAGGTGCCTGGGTCACATAACTGGCTGTTCAAGTGCTCAAGTAATAATAACTGCTGTACAAAAAAACTTGCATGAATATTCTAATGACCTAAGGTAGCTTCTAGAGAAATAACTGCACATTGAGAAGCCTGGCAGAAAATATACCAATGCAGTTTAGGGATAGTGGCAATAAATGTATTTATTTTTTTTAAATGTCCTCATGGCCACTAGAAGTTCTAAAGAAAGTGCATAACATTATAATATTGATAAATACAACTCTAGAGAAGTACTGGCGGTCAGCTTACCTGGCAGCGACTGAACACATCGGATAGGGAGACACGAACATTAAAATGTTTCAGCACCTTGATTGCTTGTTGCCGTGCTTTCTCTGAGCAGTCTACAGAAAAACATCTTCCTTCTCCAATTTGTGAGCGGAGCTGTGAGATTCAGGAGAACATCAAATGCATAAAACAAGGTATTGTAAAATAAATCTGTGCATTGTCCATACTGAGCCTATTGCCCAAGTGAACCTGTAATGCAGGGCAAAAGGTCCTAAACAATAAAAACTGCACACCTTTTGCACGATATTCTAATTATTCGAGTTTCACCTGTATATACATACATACATACACACACACATAAGGGATGCACCGATACCGTTTTTTCAGTATTGAGTAATGTTATGTTTTTTTCCAGTACTCGCTGATACTGAGTATCGATACCGGTGCCCAGTTTATCAGGAAGTCGGGCGGGGGATCACGACCAGCCACTTACTGATTGCCTGGGAAGCCGGTGTTCTATCGAAAAAACACTGGTTTTACTTGCCGAGGCTGCCTGGCTTCCTTACCAATCAGAAAGCTGGGCAACGGGTCATGAGGTGCCGTCCGGCTTCCTGACTGGTCAGGAAGCCGGGCAGCACATTATAACCCACCGCTTGGCTTCCTGATAGGAAATTAAGCCGGCTCCATGCTCCCTCAGCACTGCCGGTCAGAGGGATATCTCCCTCTGTCTGGAAGTTCCAGGTATCGGAAGCAAGTATCGGAGCATTTGGCGCTCAACCAAATACTCAGTATCGGCACCAATAGTAGTATTGGTGCATATATACATATATATATAAACTTTTTAGAACATATTAGTTCATTCCAGCCATCAGTTAGTGAATGTGAGCCTGGCTCAGATGATGGACATTCTATATTCCTAGTAAAGACAATACCATTTAGCTCTTCAGTCTACAAGAGCAGTCAGCAAGGATTGCAGGGCTTTCTCATTAGGTAGCCCAGCATGCACTGCATATACTGTAGAATAAAAGTACCTGTTTATATGTAATTTAAGGATTTTATCCAAATAACATAAATAAGAGTTTCCCAATCACTTTTGTGTAACTTGTAGGCACTCTCCCCCCC